TTGTACTTGCAGCCGTCGTAGTAGTAGCCGTCGTAGTAGTTGTAGTGGTAGTAGAAGAAGTGGGCGTAGTAGTAGTAGTAGTAGTAGTAGTAGTAGTAGTAGTAGTAGTAGTAGTAGTAGTAGTAGTAGTAGTAGTAGTAGTAGTAGTAGTAGTAGTGTGTAGTAGTAGTAGTAGTAGTAGTAGTAGTAGTAGTAGTAGTAGTAGTAGTAGTAGTAGTAGTAGTAGTGTGTAGAGTAGTAGTAGTAGTAGTAGTAGTAGTAGTAGTAGTAGTAGTAGTAGTAGTAGTAGTAGTAGTAGTAGTCGTAGTCGTAGTAGTAGTAGTAGTAGTAGCAGAAATAGTAGTAGTAGTAGTAGTAGTAGTAGTAGTAGTAGTAATAGTAGTAGTAGTAGTAGTAGCAGTAGTAGGTGTAGTAGTAGTCCTAGTAGCAGTAGTAGTAGTAGTAGTCGTCGTAGTAGTAGTTGGTGTTGTTGTTTGTTGTTTTGTGTTTGGTGTTGGGTGCTTGGTGTTTGGTGTGGTGTTTGGTGTTTAAGTTTGTGTTTGGTGTTCGGTTCTTGGTGTTTGTTTTTCGGTGTTTTGTGTTTGGTGTTTGGTGTTTGGTATTTGGCGTTGGGTGCGTGGTGTTTAGATATTGGTGCTTGGTGATTGGTGTTCGGTATTTGGTCATTGGCGTTTGGTGTTTGGTGTTTGGCGTTTGGCGTTTGGTGCGTGGCGTTTGGGGGTTGGTGTTTGGGGGTTGGTGTTTGGCGTTTGGTTTGTGGAGTTTGGGAGGGGGAAGCGGAAAAACCTGCGAGGGTCTCGCCTGGAGGACTAGCCGACCCGGTATTTGCTTCATTTCGCCCGGAGAACGAACCCTTTCCCCGGAGAGCGAAACCTTCTCCCGGAGAAGAACTTGTTTCCCAATCCCAGCATCTTCACGTTGTTCTCACTCCTCTGATGCTGGCCAGCGCCGCCCCGGCTCCATGCGGGCATGCGAGTTGCTCGTTCCAAATGGGAATTATAAATCTCGGTGAACGCATTCAACGCGACGCGCTGTACTTTCGCCGGCGATGGGGCGATCGCGCCATGGCCACCAACGCGCTCGCGGGCGGTGCCGCGGGCGACGACTGCGACTTCGACGCCGATGCTCATGGTAAGTGCGCCGAGGTGTGTTTCGCTAGTGGCATGGCCAAGGTGGTCTTGGACGAGCCACAACTGAAGGCCATGCATGCTGAAGAAATAGCAACCATGCATGAACTCGTCTGGACGGAGATCAAAGTTACAAGAGGAATTCTTTCCGAGGCCCAAAACGCGATGACATCGCGCTACGTCCGCGAGTGGAAATGTTGCAAGACCGACATGTGCCACATTGAGAAGATCATCCACGTGTGTGGAGACATTTTCAGGAACGACCCAGCGCACCTCGCGACGCTTATTCGCCAGCGAGACTGCTTGCCATGAAGATTGGATTCCGGCAAGCCTGGCTGTGGAATTGGTGCCTCTTGCACTCCTGACTTATAAGGAATTGGCTGAAGCCTCTGGGGAACAGGAGCGCGCTGCATGTTCTGCGCTACATCCTTGGTGCGCTTCGGTCCAATGCGTGCTACCTGGGCATGAAAATTACGACGAGGCTCGCCACTGGCACAAGCGTCTTAAGCCATGCGCTGGTACCAAAGGCGCTCCACCAGCCTTTTCCCTGAAGCTCGAACGACCGACTGAGGAGAGCACCGGTCTCGAAACGACGTCGCATGATCCATGATTTGATGCTGCGCCCGACCTACATACTGCCAAACGCGTAGACGACATCAACGTGCGCGGCAAGGAGGTGCACTTCGACTCTGGTAGAACAAGCGTTTGGGACATGTGAATTAAATGCGCAAGTTGTGGAGTTAGGCGACGCGATCATGGACCAAGACAACCTCGTCAGCCAAGTGCGTCCCGTCGCACGCCCCGACCTCGTCGGAGCATTGCCAGATGCACCGGCGAGTAGGACTGCCAGCGACATGTTCGCCAGTCTGCGCGGTGCCCCCGCCGGATCCGCCATGGGTCAGTTCTGGATCATGGTATATACACCTTAGGCGATGCTTAAGAAAACCTAAGTTTTCGGCCAGAGTCTCGATTATTCTTAACGTTTCAATGTAAATCCTAAGATTTTAATAGAAATATTGTTTTTTTATTCAAGTTCTGAGACTATGAATTTCTTAACCCATGATTTCTTAAGCATTTCGCAGGGTGTACTGCCTCATAACATCTCCTTTAAGAACCGACGAACCGCTAGACGATGCGACTTCCTGCCCACGCTCGCGAGTTATTACAATAAGATCCCATCGGGCGACGACGCCCGACGGCACGGTCAAACGACGCGGCGATCTCGGGCCACCGACAGCTCGCGGGAGAAGACGGCGACGAGGCGAAATGCCGCGGACTTCGAGGGGGTAGTTTTCTGCGTCGAGGAATCGAGAGCAGCAGTGCAGGGGCCATCAATTGCATCGATATCCTATATGTGAGTTTTATCGTCTCCATGTTCGATCCAGTTACGCTTCTGGGGCACTTTCTGCAGTTCGTGACGCGGATGACTGTCGGCCTGCCCTAGTGGCGCCCATGAGCTCTTCGCGGGCCCACTGAATCGCTTTGGGCTCATGCAACTTCGCGAACATGGTGGACCCTGCATCGAAGTGCGAAGTGCCCCCACAATCGGCGCTGAAGCCATGTCGGGACTCTCGCGAGCGAGGGCCCTGACACACTTGCAGAAAGGCCGCCGCTGGGCCGCATCAGTTGCATTCGTGTTTCTGGATCCCGGCAGTCTGAGTAGTGCGCAAAGGCGTGGCGCCCGCGATGTGACAGTGGATGGTCATTCCAAATTCTCTGCGGACCATGATTCCCGTTGCATATGTTGATGCGGAGCAGAATTACAAGCGCGAGGTTTTGTCATATCTACCATGCCACGGTAATTCTCCGACTGCCAGTGCGCGAAGCCGCTGCTGGTCAAACGCCTAGTTTGACCCTTGTGGCCCGAGGCGTTGCCCAGCCGAGGCCACCAGTTGCATGCGTGGGGGGGCACCCGTTCAGAGCTGTCGTGGGTCCGCGACGGCCTAGAGTGCTCGCGCGCCCGCGCTCCTCTCGCCCGTCATATGTCGCGTGCGGGCGACTGCCAGGGAGCGAACGCGTGACTGCGCTCTTTCAGCCGGGCTTTCGTCGAGGATTTATTCCTCGCTTGGCTTTAGATTCGCGGGCGCGCGAGGCCAGCGATCTGTCTGCCCGATGCGGGGCCAGCCCCTCCGGCATCTTCCAGAGCTTTTCTGGGCTGCCTGCTCGCCAGCCCAGCGCGCGCTGCGTTCGATCAGCTTGCGTTCGCTCCGTTGCACTTCGGTGCCCGAGCTCCTTGTTCATGGGGGCATGACCCAGCGCATCGTTCTTGTTGTGTGTTTGTCTTGCCTCGCTGCAACTGAGGTAGCCGCGTCGCGCGTCTACCTGTCACTTCGCGGCCGCTAGCGACAGCAGCGGTCAGGCTTCGTTCCCCGCCACTCGACTTTGAGCGGGCGTCCAAGGGGGGGGGTGCGCAGCGTGCCCCCCCCCTTGGTGGTTGTCCCGGCTCAGTGCAGCGCCGCCCGATCTGCCAGAGCGGCGACTTGCCTGCTCTCGATCTGAGGCGCTTGGAGAGGCATAAGTCCAGTTCTTTCCCCATCGCCATCTTCTTCTCTCCGCTCCTCCTTGACACCCTCGTTCGCAGTGTCATGTCATGGAACGCCCCGCTTCAGATTGGTTAGTGGTCCACCTGCTGCCTCTGCCCTTCTCGCATAAAGCACTCCCAGCGTTGTAGCGGATATGTTTTTCACTGCCGCCCTTCTCGTATCAGCTGAAAGTGTTTGCCTATGCTCCTCCCCTCGCATTGACAGCGTCTGCTGTCTGTGCTTGCCCTTCCCGCACGAAGTAGCTGATACCTGTCGGCGCCGCTCAGCCTGCAACGTCTCGCCCAGCCCCCACAGCGCACGCAACCACTGCCTTCTCTTCTCGCATGCGCTACTCCAGCGCTGTAGCGGATGACGTCTGGATGCGGTGCCCACTGCGCCGGTTGCCTTGCATGCATTCTTGTTCGCGCCAGCCCCAGCGCTGTGGCGGATGGCGCCGCGGCTTGGTGCCCATAACGCGCTTGCTCCATTGCTTGATTTTGCACATGACCCGGTCCCTTCATAACCGATCTTGTCCCACGTGCCCTTCCTTGCACTGTCAGCGTCTGCTGCCATTGCCTGCCGTCTCGCACGAGCGGGTCCTTGCATTGCAGATGATGATCCATTCCCACGTTCGCGCCTTTTGCGGCGCCAGCTGCCGTTATTGCCCGTCGATCCGAGTGAGCCGATCTTTGTTGTAGCTGCTGGACCTTACCCACGCTCGCCCTGCTGGCGGCAACAACGCCTGCTGTCACTGCCTGCCTTTCGGCAAGAGCTGATGCTGATCCTCTCCTGCGCGCCTCGGAGGTTCGGCTTGGGGTTGGTCGGCGGAGCACCGTTGGACGCAGCATTATAGCTGCAGCGCGGAAGCCGTTATTATGTATAGTTCGATCAGGCATCCGATGTCAGCGCATTCGAGGTTGCAGGCTGATGTCTTCGATCATGCTCGATTCATCTGTATACTGACGAGGTGCGTAGCTGCTCGAAATCTGGGCATCTGCCAGTTCGTGTCTCTTTTGGTTGCGTTTTTGCAGTGACGCCGCGGAAGCGGGCGCCACTGTTTCGCAGGAGATGGATGAGGAGAAATACATGGAGAGCGTGGAAGGGGAGGCAGCGGCGACGACTTTTAAGGACTGGCGTGCATACTTGATCAAAGGGTTGTACCTGAGGATGTTGGGCACCACGATTCGCTGTCGGTGGGTCGCGACGCGCATTGCCACGCCCCCTCGGCCCCGCAAACACTGGCGGGTCGTGCGCGGCATGGCTGAGGAGGAAGCGGACGAGGACGAGGAGGAGGCGGAATAGGAGGAAGAGGAGGACGAGGAGGAGGAAGAGGAGTGAGGAGGGGGAGGAGGATGAGGATGATCACTCTCGCGCGTCCCAGGAGGAAGTCCGCCAGCGGCAGGAGTGGGAGACGATCCGCGAGGAGCGTCCTGCAGGGCGGGCTCCGTTCGCCGGCGGCCAGGGATTGTGCTGATGGTTCCTCTTCGTTTCGCGGGGGGCACGTCCGGAGCACGTGCAGACTTGGCGTTGTCAAACGACACGAAGATCGGGACAAAATCGGATCGGGCCAACTCGAAATCTCTGAGAATCGGTGGGTTTGGAGGATGTATTGGGCGCCGCGGCCGCTCCAGATCCTAGCCCTGTTTTACGTTGGGTGGTCTGCCCTGCTCGTCTGCCACCCTGCTCTGCTGCGTCGTTTTGCTCGCCCCGGGGCGCGGCCAGCGCCGCGTGGGGCGGGTGCGCCCCTTCGTTTCAGCGCCGTGACGAGCGTGCGAATGTCCACGAGGGCAATGGGCACTCAACGCGTGTCAGCACAAGGCAGCGCCAAGCTCAAATTCCGATGAGCACAGCAGCACCGCGCCATTCCTATATATATATATATATATATAATTCCGCGGGCTTATTCGCGGTTATTTGGGGCCGTGTGGGGCCTCTTGGAGGCTTCTTGGGGTCCTTTGGGGCCTCTGAGGCGGCCTCTTTGGGGCCCCTTACGGCCTCAAATGGGCGCCTTGGGCCGTCTTGGGGCGGTATTGCGCCTTCCGGCCTCTTTCGGAAGCCGTCTCCGGGGCCTCTCAGTGCAGTTTTGTTGCTCTTTTGGGCTCCTCTTGGGCCGTTTTGGGAGCCTCTTAAGCCGTCTTGGGGGCTTCTTTGGGCCATCTTGGAGGCTGCTTGGGCCGTCATGTGCCCCCAGGAGTCGAACAAATGGCGAGAACGCGAACATTTTTCAACCGTATGTAAATCGATGCTTGTGGTCTCTGGAGTTTGGGGCCCCCTTAGGGCCCTCTGGGGCTGTCTTTCTGGTCTTCTGTGCCTTTATGGGGCCATCTTGGGCCGTCGTGGGCCTTGAGTGTCTATCATCCATGCGATCGCAGCATATTAGCAAAATGATACAGTTGATTACATTGTGCCGGTTCATTCTCCCACTTTTTTCAAGCATGTTCGGCTCATCTCTCAGTTACCTTACTGCTCCTTCGTTGCGCGACGGCCTCGTGAGATTCCAACACGGTCCAAGAGGGCTTGACATAGTTTCATTATGGCCTCAGGAGGCTACAAGTGACCCCCAAGAGTGGTCCAACACGGCCCCGTACTCATTCCCAACAAACACGGTCATGGTTGCGCGCGAGAGAGAAAAAGAGAGAACGAGAGAGAGAGAGAGAGAGAACGAGAGAGAGAGAGCATCATTATGGACGATGGCGGTGATGAGGATGTAGAGTATGTTGGGATTGTGTTGGTCTTCCCTATGGCCGCTAGGGGCTATTCGTAAGTGAGGCCCGAACGGAGGTGCACGACACCGTCACCCGGCCTTTCCGATCATTATGGCCGCGCTGCACTAGAAGTTTCGACCCGTGGTCGGTTGTCGTCCGTCCCACAGTCTCTTGAGCCATCCTCCAAGAGTCAAATTGCCTTGTTTTCAGCGCCGTGTCTTGAGAGCCTGCCTCTGTTGGGTCACCTAGCAGGGCGCAGCGCTCACAGCAGACGTGAGACTCACGGATCATTAGTTTGTAGCACATGCGCTGAGTTTGTTGCAGCACCTCTCTTCCGGCCGAGAGGGCTGCGCTCGAAGGGGGAGGAGGCAGAGTGGGTTTGGGGCTTGTATATGGGGCGCGGTGGGGGTTCTTGGAGTTGCACGTGGAGGACGCGCCGCTGCCGCGAACGCTGCCTCTCTTTTTGTTCGCCCCCTCGCTGCTCTTTGCTTCAGTCGCTTGGGACTCAGACTCCATCCGTCTAGCCCCGAACGAACGAACGAACGAGGAGTGGCTGGAGGAAATGGGACCTCGGCAGGCCCTCCAGTCGGCCCAGATTAGTATGTCGACCCTGCCAGCTCAAGGGTACCCTTGTGCCCTGTGCCTCGCGGCACGTGCCTTCTTGCACTCCTCTGACGATGTGGCCCTCGGAAGGGCCTCGTGTCCTCTCGCGTGTCCTGTCCAATCAAGGCCGACTGTAATTGTCGGAGGTTGATAGACCTCCTACCCTGACACGTCGATTAGTGAATTGGCCGTTTTCGGTTCGCGAGAGGGCGTCGCGACCGTCATTTTTGCGGGTCCAGGTCCGTCGCTTTCGGTCCCACGTCGTTTCCTTTGAATGGAGGTTCACCAAAGGGAGGTGTGTCCACCGCCGACTCTCGCGTGCCCCGTCCAATCAAGGCCGACTGTAACTGCTCGTGCTCGCGAGGCGGAGGAGAAGGAGGAGGAAGAGGCGGAGAAGGAGGAGGGGGAGGAGGGGGAGAAGGGGGAAGAGGAGGAGGAGGAGGAAAAGGAGGAGGAGGAGGAGGAGGAGGAGGAGAAGGAGGAGGAGGAAGGAGAGGCGGCTGGGTCCGAGGGGGCTCGCCCCCCGCCGGGCCCTCGGCGCGACGGGGCTGCGCGCGCCTGCCCGCGCCGCCTGCGGAAAAGCCGAGGCCGCCGCCGCGCGGCCGGGAGGCGCCGCGGCTCACGGGGCGTGCTCGCCCGCCGCCGGGCGCCCCGTCGCACGGTCGAGGCCCGTGCTCGGCGCTGCGGCGAGGGGGCGAGAGGGGGAAGGAGGAGGAGCAGGAGGGGGAGGATCTGCCCAAGGGAGGAGGAGGATCTGCGCAAGAGAGGGGGAGGAGGATTGGAAGATCACCACCGGCCAGACCACCCCGACCCGACCCGAAGGCCTCGATTTGCCCTCCATTTCCAGTGTGGGGGGTCGGGGAGTCGGGGAACGTTGAAAAAACACATGGAACCCGTACCCCCCCCCCAACCCGAGATTCGGGTCCAATTCGGGTCTTCGGGTTGGGTTGGGGTGGTCTGGCAGATAGTCAGAAGAGGAGGAGCAGGAGGGGGAGGATCTGCCCAAGAGAGGAGGAGGATGAGAGGTTGATAGACCTCCTACCCTGACACGTCGATCAGCGAACGGGCCGTTCTCTGTTCGCGAGAGGGCGTCGCGGCCGTCCTTTCTGCGGGTCCGGGTCCGTCGGATCCGGTCCCAGGCCGTTTTTACTAAGGGGAGGTTTACTAAAGGGAGGCGTGTCCACCGCCGATGATCCGTTGTTTTGCCGATCGGCGCGGGCCCTCGTGCCCCTCCCCCCTTTCTCCCCCCCCCCATGGAGCAGATCTTGGCTGTCTTGGGCGCCTGTTTCGAGCAGGTGGAGCCCCTCTCCCCATCGGACACGCTGTCACACACAGTCGCATTTAGCAGAGGTCCGGAGCCAGACAACCCCCCCCCTCCCCCCCCGCCCCCCCTCCGCCCAATGCCGGAACGCCGAATCCGAGAACGCTCACGATGCGGAGAGGGGGGCCCCGCAGGAAGCACCCGGAGGCCCCTTCCGACGCCCTCGCGAGCCTTGAGACGGGGGTCAATGCAAACGGGGGTCAGCCAGAGCGCCCGATCTTGCAAGATCCTGCAGGGCCAGGGTCGCACTCACCCGCGTTTGGGTGCGGGATCCTGCAGGATCTTGCAGGATCCTTCGCATCGACCCGGGCTTGGGGGCAGGGTCTTGCAGGATCTTGCAGGATTCCGCAAGGCCTGACTGACCCGGGTCGGGATTGACCCGGGTCGGAAGGACCCCTTTCCCCCCCTTCCGCCCACTGCCGAAACGCCGAGTACAAAAAAGACGCCCACTGCCGTGGGATGCTCTTGCTTCGGGGGCGGACAGAACCCCCAACAGTGACACGTCGATTAGGGAATTGTCCGTTTTCGGTTCTCGAGATGCCACCGTGGCCGTCATTTTCCAAGCTTGCGCCCGCCAGGTTTGGGCCTCAGGTCGTTTTCACTAAACCACGTTTTACTAAAGGGGGGGGGGTCTGTCCATCCCCGATTGCTGCATGTTCGCCTTGGACGTGCGCCTCTCCACTGGATCTGGCCCGGGCCAGGCGATCCCCGACGCCTCCTCCTCCTCCTCCTCCTCCTCCTCCTCCTCCTCCTCCTCCTCCTCCTCCTCCTCCTCCTCCTCCCCTCCCCGCCTCCTCCCCCGCCTCCTCCCCCGCCTCCTCCCCCGCCTCCTCCCCCGCCTCCTCCCCCGCCTCCTCCTCCTCTTCTGCTCCTCCTCCCTCCTCCCCTCCTCCCCCGCCTCCTCCCCGCCCGCCCCCCCCGCCCGCCTCTCCTCGCCTCCTCCTCCTCCTCCTCCCTCCTCCTCCCCCTCCCGGGCCAGACGGCCCCGCCGCCCGCGCCCCGCCGCCGCCCCCCCCCCCCCTTGCCAGGAGAAGCGCAGGCTCGAGCAGGACCGGCTGGAGCAGGAGCAGGCACGCAGGGCGCTCGAGCAGGAGCCCGCCGCGCGCAGGGGGAGGGGGCCCTTCGGGGGGGGGGGGGGAGGGGCGGAGGGCGTCGGACGAGCACCCCCTGCTTGGGGAGGGCTTCTCCGAAGGGCTTCGGCGGCCCGTCCTCGTCCTCCTCCTCCTCCTCCTCGTCCTCCTCTTCGTCCTCCTCCTCCTCTTCCTCCTCCTCCTCCTCTTCGTTCTCCTCCTCCTCCTCCTCCTCCTCCTCCTCCTCCTCCTCGGGCCGCCTACGGCTCCGGGGGAAACCGTGCACCCTGCTTCTCTCAGGCGATCGCAAACATGGATGGATCAAGGGGGCGTGGATTAGCGACGGGTCCCAGTCCCATGGGACGTCGCGGATGTCCGCCGCCGAGCGAGGCGGCACAGGCCGCACTGTGGGGAGGGCACCTCCCCCGATCCATGGATCTGGCGACCGCGCGCCGAATCCATGGATCGCTGATCCTTGCTTGCGCGCCCCTGAGAGAAGTCGCGGGCCTCGTCTAGAGACGTAGGGCCGTCGCCTTCTGAGAAGCAGCATCCCTGAGGAGCCCTCCCCCCCTCCCTCCGCCCCCTGTGTGTGTGTGTTTGTGTGTTTGTGTTTGTGTTTGTGTTTGTGTGTTTGTGTTTGTGTTTGTGTTTGTGTTTGTGTTTGTGTTTGTGTTTGTGTTTGTGTTTGTGTTTGTGTTTGTGTTTGTGTGTGTGTGTTTGTGTGTGTGTGTGTGTGTGTTTGTGCGCGCGCGCGCCGCCGGAGGAGAAGCTGGAGCAGGAGCAGGCGCGCAAGGCTCTGGAGCAGGAGCTCGCGGCGCTGGCCCACTGCCGGGGGAGGGGAGGCAGCGTCTCGTGGGCCTCTGGAGGACGGAGACTGGCACGGATGAAGATCTCGGCATCGCTCGGACGTGTGCATCTTTTCCTCGGCGAGGACCATCGAGGAGCATCCTTGATCATGTGGCGAAAAACCCACGCACGAGACCGAACAAAAACACAGAGATTGGACGTCCGAGCGATGGCGAGAGATTGACGGCGGTCTCCACCACCCACCAAACCACCCCGACCCAACCCGAAGGCCCCAGCTTGCCCTCCATTCCCAGTGGGGGGGGGCGTCGGGGAACCCTGAAGAAACGCAAGTGGAGCTCGTACCCCTCCCGACCCGAGATTCGGGTCTTCGGGTTGGGTTGGGGTGGTCTGGTGGGCAACTAGTCAAGTTCATGGCCACTTTGCACAGGAGTCGCTGCTGGTGTCGCCGCGGATGCTGTCCATTCGAAACAGGCGCGCCTGCCTCACAGCGGCCGCCATCGGTTCTGGACAGTACTCGCCGCCGGGCACTGTGCCCATGTTTGCCCGTACGGTAGGTTCGCGTCGTGTCGGCCGGCGGCCATCCCGCCGCCCGACGTTCAACGCTGAACGCCGACGGCGGCCCAGAATCGGTCGATGTTGACCGATCGGCCGCTGCGGAGACGGCCGATCGTTCGAGGTTGCACGATCCCCGCGCGGTGTCAGTCAGCCACGCGCATAGGGGGGCGGGGGGCGGGGGCAGGCCTTCTCAGAAGCACCCTTGCTTCTTAGAAGGTGCGGGGCCTTATCTACAGTTTATAGTCAACGCGCATAGTAAGGACAAACGACTTTTGGGTCCTTGCCTGCCTCAGCCTCTGCGGCCCGTCCCTAGCAATTTTCGCAGTCCAGTTTCTCAGGTTCCCTGGGGGTTTGGCCGCCTGTCGCCCAGAATACTTCAACTTCGGCCTCCAAGGGTCTTGCGTCCTTACCACGCGTCCTTACTATACGTTTTCACTGTATGGATGCAAGGCCGGCGCCTTCTAAGAATCAGCCTCCCTCTAAGGAGCCCTCCCCCCTCCCTCCACCCCCTTGTGCGCGCCGCCAAGTCGGGAACCAACGCCGGCGTCGACACGACACGAACCTGCAGTTACCCATACTCGGCGTTCCGAGGGAGGGGGTACGGCCCGGTAAGGCGGCGCCTCGTGGTCGGGCGGTGCGCTGCGCTCGGTGGTCCGCGGGCCCCTCCGCCTGGTCGGGCCACCCTCGGGGGCAGCGATGGGGGGGTGGGCACAGGTGGGGATGCATCGACCTCGACAGAGTGGTGGATACAACGGCAATGCATCGTTGGTCCCAGGGCACTGCATCGACGGTGTATCGACGATGTTTGGGCAGGTCTGCATGCATCGACGATGTACAATCGGCGATGCAGGGGTACGCGGGCGATGTATCGGTGATTCGAGGTCGATGCATCCCCCCTTATGCCTATCCCGCTCTACTGCTGCCCCTCACGTCTGCGGGGAAGCATCCGTCGAGTCTGGCAGGACACCTCCTCCGCCACTCCTCGGCAGGTGCCCGCGCCTTGGCGCCACTTCCTGCAGCCCCGGCGCGTGGGGCTACTAGGGGACATCATTCAGGCGCAGTCTCCCGCCGCCGACGCCGTCGCCGTCGTCGTCGTCGTCGCCGTCGCCGTCGTCGTCGTCGTCGCCGCCGTCGTCGTCGCCGTCGTCGTCGTCGTCGTCGTCGTCGTCGCCGTCGTCGTCGTCGTCGTCGTCGTCGTCGTCGTCGTCGTCTCCAGCCTCCAGCCTCTCCCCGACCAGGATCGGCCCCGCCTCGCCAGAGGCGCGCCGCACAGCACGGCCCGAGCGCCCTCGGCGAGCGTGGCCGTGCAGCGGGCCGGCTGGGGGCTGTCGGGGGAGGAGGAGGAGGAGGAGGAGGAGGAGGAGGAGGAGGAGGAGGAGGAGGAGGGGAGGAGGAGGAGGAGGAGGAGGAGGAGGGAGGAGGAGGAGGAGGAGGGGAGGAGGAGGAGGAGGAGGGAGGAGGAGAGGAGGAGGGGGAGGGGGAGGAGGAGGAAGAGGAGGAGGAGGAGGAGGAGGCGGAGGAGGAGGGGGAAAGAAAAAGGAGGAGGAGGCGGTGGAGGAGGAGGAGGAGGAGGAGGCGGAGAGGAGAGAGGCGGAGGCGGAGGAGGAGGCGGAGGCGGCGGAGGAGGCGGAGGAGGAGGAGGCGGAGGAGGAGGAGGAGGCGAAGGAGGCGGAGGAGGAGGCGGAGGCGGCGGAGGAGGAGGAGGAGGAGGAGGCGGCGCAGCAGAACTCGCAGCAGGAGGCGGCGGAGGAGGAAGAGGCGGTGGAGGGGGAGGAAAGCGGGTGCGATCCTCGTGATGTGCGACGCGCGGAGGCACGCTGGGAGGCCTTGCCGCGCGGCTGGCCCCGCGGCTGGCCGTTTGGCACAGCTTGGAGGTCGATGCTTCGACCTCCTGCCCCGACACATCGATTGCCAAGCAGTGGCGAAGCGTCCCGGCGTGCCTGCAGGCCCATCAAACAATGTTCTTAGATCGGGGGTGGACAGACCTCCTACCCTGACACGTCGATTAAGGAATTGGCGGTTTTCGGTTCGCGAGAGGGCGTCGCGGCCGTCATTTTTGGGGGTCCAGGACCGTCGGTTTCGGTCCCAGGCCGTTCTCAGTAAGGGGCGGTCTACTAAAGGGAGGTTTGTCCACCGCCGATTAGACCATTTCTGGCCGAGACTGTTTTGTTTTGACACGTCGGGCTTGTGTTCTAAGAACATTGTTGTTGTTCTGCGAACATGTTTGGGTTCTACGAGCATGTCGTGGTAGGCCTATAGGAATGCCGGGACGGTCGGTCCCTGCTCAAGATTAGCGAATTGGCCGTCATTTTCGCGGGTCCATGCCCGTCGGTTTCGGTCCCAGGCCGTTTTCACAAGAGGGTGGTTTGCTAAAGGGAGGTTTGTCCACCGCCTTCTGTCGACCCCGAGAAGGGATCCAGGATTAAATCGGGCATGTCCCTCTACATAAGGAATATTCCAAAATAGGCACGCTAAAAGTCTGGGGACGATTTTGTTTCGGTTTTTTGTTAGAATATTTGTGTCAAGAGTCCGCCTGTAGGTGGACATGCCCGACCTGAATCCAGGATCGGGACAAGACGCTCCAGAGCGTTCCAGAGCGCTCTCAGAGCGTTCCAGAACTTTCAGAAACGGCCGCGGCGCCCGAGTCGGGGGTTGCTGAAGGTAACCCTGGGCCAAGGTGCCCCCAGCTATTCGCTCCATCTTGGAGCCCCCGGGGGGCCCTGGGCCTCGTGAGGGGTGCGCTGGCGGCCGTGGGGGCTTCCCGTGAGATCCTGGGGGCACCTTGGGCCTGGAGGTACTACTATAGCAACACCCGGCCGAGATGTCAGAGATCCCTGATCTTGCCCGATCTTCCTGCGAGGGCGAGCGGGATCGGCACATCTCCCAAGCGGACTTCTACCATGTTTGCCCGTCGCCCCCCAAAGGTGACGCGCGCGCTTGGAGCTCCTTTTGTGGTATCGTCTCACGCTCGGGCGCGCTCTGACCAGGCCGCCTAGTGAATTTCCGAACCGAACATCTAGCACAAGCACCCTGCTCGTACAGCGGGGGCCCATGCCAAGAAACCCTGCTCGCCTCCAGGGTGCCCTGGGTTTCTTGGGCTTCGAGGCTTTTGCGATGGAAAGCGCGACGTCCCCACACCAAAGATCAAGGGACGCCCTTCAGGGATGGGTCTCTTGTGTTATGTTGTTCCCATCGTACTTAGGGACCGCATGCTGGAAATAATTTCGAGCACCCGGAAAGGTGTCGAAAGAGTGTCGAAACAGTGTCTCCCAGGGTCCGATGCGTGGAAACCCTCGAGTCTGGGGGTACTTGTCTGGTGCCCGACATTCTTTTTGGTGATCGAGGCTGGAGTAGGCTGGAACATCATAACTCCTGTGGAGGGCGTTCCTTCTGGACCGGCCCCCAGCCTGTGTGCGCGCACGAGAGCTGCCCGTGCTCTGTGCTCTGTGCTCGGGCGTGCGCCTCCCCCGGGGGGACGCACCGCAGGCACTCTGTGCGGCAGGCTCGTGCCGCGCCGGCCTCGGCGCCGGCTCCCTGGCTAGGGGGACAACTCGGGAGCCTCGAGACGGGGGTCAATGCAGACGGGGGTCAGCCAGAGCGCCAGAAGCTGCAGGATCCTGCGAAGACACCCTCTGGCTGACCCGGGTTAGCGAGCCGCTCGTGGCCGCGAGGCGGCCGCGCGTATTGGCTGACCCGGGTTTGCGAAGACCTGCGCTGCAGTTTTTTTTTTCTTGCATTGCAGTTTTTGGTTTCCTGTTGACCCGGGTCTGGATTGACCCGGGTCAGAAGATCCCCGAACAACAAGCGACATAAACACAAAAACTCCTCCTCATCCTCCACCTCCTTCACCCAGCTTGTGGTGGTGCTGGTGGGGAAGAGGCCCATCAGCGACGGGTCCCTCGAGGCTGCACGATCCCCGCGCCGGCTCCCTGGCTAGGGGGACGACAAGTGGCATAAACACAAAAACTCGGAGGTCCGCGCGGATTTCTCGGATCGGCGCTGGGGCCCCCCGGCGGCGCCTCCGGCGCCGCCCCTGGCGCGCTCCGCGCGCCAGGGAGGGGGGCCCCAGCGCCGATTCGAGAAATCCGCGCGGACCTCCGAGTTTTGGTGTTTATGCCACTTTTTGTTCCCCTACTGGCAGCCAGCGCGGGGATCGTGCAGCCTCGAGGGACCTGTCGCTGATGGGCCTCTTCTCCACCAGCACCACCACAAGTTGGGTGAAGGAGGCTGAGCAGGAGGGGGAGGAGGAAGACGAGGAAGAGGAGAAGCCCCTCCACCCTCCAACTCATAGTGGTGGTGGTGGTGGTGGTGGTGGTGGTGGTGGTGGTGGTGGTGGTGGTGGTGGTGGTGGTGGTGGTGGTGGGAAGCGAGCCCATCAGTCGTGTCCGGAACGTCCGATCGTTCAACGTCCACCGATTCCGGGACGCCGCCGGCGCTCCACGC